CCATGGCCCAGGGACCGGAAGGGGGTGGTGCCAGGTGCTGGGGCCGGAAGTGGGTGGTGCCGGGTGCTGGGGTTCCCGTCTCAGCCTACCCCTTTCCCTCCCTCTCCCCAGGTGTGGTGTGGCAGCTTCCAGGTGATGACAGGCCTGCAGGTGCCCAGCTCGGTGCGCTGCCTGCAGAAGCGGGGCAGTGCCACCAGCAGCTCCAACACCAGCCTCACCTAGGCCCCGGCCCCAGCCCTGCCGGGTTGTCCTTGGGGTCCCGGCTCGTCCAGCCGGCACCTCCTCTCACTTGCTGCTTGGAGCCTTAACTCCTGATTTGGGGGCACCACCAGGGAACAGGCACCCTACCTTGCCTCCTAATAAAGGTCAAACACTGGCCAAGCTGTGGGGCTGGTTATTTGGGGTTGGGTGGTGCTGCACTGGACCTCAACTTTCGGGCCTATAAAATGGGCTTTTTCTGCAGGGTCAGGGTGTCACTGAGCCGAGGATCATCGGGAGGAAGTGGGGACAGGAAGTGGCCATCACACAGACTCTCTCCCAAGCCAAGTCAAACACATGGGTCCTGGGGTCACAGGTTTTAATCCTGGGAGGTGCTGTGCCCGAGATTGGCTTGTCGGTCCCCCCACATGTCCAACCTCAATGCTCCAGCGCCCGCCTCTTCTGCAGTTTCTCTTCCAGCTCTGCCGTCACATCAGCCAGCCCTGGGGGGTGAGGCTTCAGCTGGGCCAGGCGCCCCATCCATGTCTCCCCCACATCCACCCAGAACCGGTGACAGAATTTGCAGGGCCCAGTACAAAATGAAAGGATCCCTGTTAGCGCACTGGTTAAAGCGCTCGGCTGCCAACCAAAAGGTTGGTGGCTTAAACCCACCAGCTGCTCCGTGGGAGAAAGAGGTGGCAGTCAGCTTCCGGAAAGATTACAGCCTTGGAAACCCTATGGGGCAGTTCTACTCTGCCCTGTAGGGTCGCTATAAGTCAGAAGCGACTCGGTGGCAGTGGGTATGGGCAGTGCAGATTGAAAATAGGGGCCACTTGTTCAAAAAATGTTTTTAGTTGCCGTCGAGTCGACCCCGACTCATGGCAAACCCATGTGTGCAGAGTAGAACTGCTCCATAGGGTTTTCAAGGCTGTGACCTTTTGGAAGTGGATCACCAGGCCTGTCTTCCAAGGCGCCCCTGGGTGGGCTCAAACCGCCAACCTTTTGGCCAGCAATTGAGCACTTAACTGTTTTTGCCACTCAGGGACTCCCCAAAAAGCATTAGGAATTTCAAAATGACATTGAACCAAGCATGGGGCCAGCTAGGCGTGGGGCCCTCAGCAATGGCAGGGGTCCCATGCCCACGACACTGGTCCCTTACCTGTTGTGGGGAAGATAGGCTGGGCTGTGCTGGCTGCCAGCTTCCTGGCCAGCAGGCCACTGTTGACGACTTTGTGTTCTGCCAAGGAGAGGGCAGGTGAGGGCTGAGGTCACCTTCCAGGGGCAGAGGGAGGGGCTAGGAAGAGGCCCCCTACCTGGCTTTGGCTTGACGGGTGGCTTTGGGGCCTTTGCTTGAGCCTTTGGCAGCTTCTTGAGCTTCAGGGCGACCTGCCGACTAGGGGGTAGCACTGCGTGGATAGAGGTGTGGCATGTCACAGTGGGCTGTTAACCTGCGCCACCTGTCCACAGCACTGCCCCACCTCGTCCCCATCACCCCCATCCACCTTTGTCATTCACATAATTGGCAGCTGGGACATCTCCAATGGGGATCACATAGTTCTCGTCCTGGTCAGGTGGTGGAGGCAGCGGGGGCAGGGGAGGCAGCTTGTCCTGAGTGGACACAGGTGTGGATGTAGGCGGTGGCTGCTTGGGGCCGCCTGCAGGGGGCACGGGACCTGGTTGGAAAAGGTGGTCAGTGTCCAGGCCCACGCAGTACCGGGACACCTTGGGGGGGATGGGTCTGTGTGCCTCGAGGAACAGGAACGTGTGTGCATGTGTGTGTCTGTGCACACGTCCATTTTTTGGGTCTGTGTTCCTGTGTAGCACGAACATGTACACGGGTTGAATTTGTGTAGGGTTAAATCTATATATGAGCTTCCACTTTCCTGTGGGCATGTACACACACGCCTCTGTGTGATGTGCAAGATGCTGCAGGGTCTGAAGGTACATGCTTGGGTGCTTGTTGCCAGGCCTTTCTTTTGAGGGACCTCTGGGTGGACTCGAACCTGCAACCTTTTAGTTTGCAGCCAAGCACATTCACCATGTGCACACCCAGGGGCTCCGTGTCATGTGTACATATCTGTAAATGTATGTATGTGTCTGAATTTGTGCTTGTGAGTGGATATGCCTGCATTCTTGTGTACACAAGTGATTGTATACGGGGGCTACACGGTGTGTAAACACACACATGTATGCGGATGTTCAGGGATGTGTGGAACTGTTGTGATGTGAGCTTCTGATTTATGTAATGGACACAGTCCATGTATGCGAGTGTGCACATGTGTGTACATACATGTCCATCATGCACATGAGTCTCCTGCCCAGCACAGGGAGACCACACGGCTCACCCACAGACCTGCTTCCTCTCGCTCCATAAACTAGGCTGACTCCCACCCCTTTCCCAAGACCTCCCCCCTTTTCCCATCTCTGGGCCTTTGCTCCTCCAGGTGCACCCTCCGTCCCCGCAGTGCCATCACCACCTACTGAAATCCTTTGAAACCTTCAGCAAACACCCCGTCCTCTGGGAAGCCTTCCCGGACTCCCCC